TAATGAATCAAGATGCATTTGCAGAACGTCAAAAATAAATAAATAACAATAAAAATGAAGGGAGAACGCACCTCCCTTGGGCGGCTCCACTTCTGCTAGGGCGGTGCTCATTGCTCTTCCTTCCTCTTCTTCCTCTTCTTCTTCTTCAGTTGCAGAAAACGTCGTTTGTCAATTAATTGTTCAAGTTCAAGCGCGGTATGGGCCAACTCTAAATGCAAAAGATCGACTCAATCTCGCATAAGCCCACAGTGGTCGCCAGACAGGTGTGCACGGAAGGCTGTTCGCCACCACCTTGAGTGGGTGGGGGGGCTTCATGTTGTGTCCCTCGGCTTTCCCTTCGAACTTCTGGAAGTCAGTTCCTTCGCCGGCTCTAACCGGGAAAAAAATAAACCTTGAAAAATGTGCGAAGTTCGCACCTTTTCGCCCCACACCGCTGGTCAGCCACAGTCAACACGGTCACAATTGCCTGTTTATCTGGTTGGTTCTGTGTAAAGCTGTTGACAATTTGCGGCGTTGTGCTGGCGGCCTGCTGTCTGCAGGAGGGGGCCGAACTATTTCCACGACGCAATCTTGCCGCACTTGGGGCACTTGGTGCCACCACTCTTGCACAACGCACGCCAAACGACACCACACGGCCGCCAACCAGCGCTATCGACAGTAGCTTGTCGTCAGCGTGTTCTTCATCAGCTAACTTCTCAAAAAGTTGTAACTTGTTTTTCTCTTCGTCACACTTGCACCCATAGCTGTTGTATCGACGGAACTGTTGAGGTTGGCCGAACAAAGGAGGACAGCGTGAAGCTGCACAGTTGTGTCACTTTCTCGCACACAGAAAAAAGAGAGATGCAAAAAGAAGAGGAGAGCGGGGGGCAGCAGCTGCTGGTGTCAGAGGAGGAGATGCGGCGAGCGGCAGACCTCATCGCACGTGCCAAACGTTTAGTGGTGTTCTCGGGCGCTGGCATCTCTGCAGAAAGTGCGCCACATGCATCCAATTCGCTTCATCTTCAAATCCTGTTCTCTGATTAATGTCATGCATGCTGTGCGATGCAGGCGGTATTGCTACGTTTCGTGATCCAGAGATGGGGCTGTGGACCTCCAAGATCGGTCTCGCTTGGTTCGGTACGTTGTCTGACCGCCAGCTCTGTTGACTTCCACCGCCCACCCGCTACTCACATGCGCCCCCCCCCCCCACAGGCACGCCGGTCGGGTGGCGCTGGACGCCCGGCCTCGCCTGGCGCATGTACCTCTCCCGGTTCCGCGACCCCATCGCCCGTACGTCACCCGCCCGCCGCCCCGCGGCCGTTGGCTTCCCCTTTAGAAGCTCACCCCGACTGTACTCGGCACCACAGGCGCACGGCCCAACCCCGGCCATTATGCCATCGCCCGGCTGGAGCAGCTCATCGACCAGGGCCAGGCCCTTGGCAAAGGTGTGTGTCATGTATGTGTATGTGCGGTGCGTGCGGTGTGTGTGTGGCTGACTTATGTGATATGTGATGCAGACGTTCCGCGCCACTTTGACATTCTCACGCAAAACGTGGACGGGCTGCACCAGCGCGCGGGGAACAAGGAGACGAGCGTGGCCGAGCTGCACGGCACCGTCAACCGACACATCTGCAGCAAGCACCGCCACCCGCACCCCTACGTCATCGACCCGTCCACCTTAGGTTCGCCCTCTCAGGAAGCCAGCAACTCGCTTTTCGCCTCTGCTCACGACACGACACGACACGACACGACACGTGGAACAGCTGAGGATTATGACCCGGAGAAGGACGAGTTCTTCACGCATGACTCGAAGAAGGTGCCCCGGTGCCAGGTGGAAGGGTGCGGGAGCTATCTCCGGCCGGACGCGGTTCTCTTCATGGAGAGCCTCCCCAGCCACGCCTGGAACGCCGCCGACCACGCCGTCTCCAGCGTACGATACACACGACACACGACACACACACACACACACACAGCACACACACACGACACACTAAAACTGTGGTGGCAGCTGCGCCAGGGCGATGTGATGCTGGTGGTGGGCACCTCGGGCGTCGTCTACCCCGCGGCCTCGCTGCCGGAGGAGGCCCTGGAGAAGCGGGGCGTGCACGTCATCGAAATCAATCCCGTGCCGAGCGCTATCTCATCTCGGTGCGTTCTTCGATCGAAACAAACACTACTGCCAGTGCCAGAAAGGTGGAGTTTACTAATTGGTGTCGTGCCGTGTTTGTCGTTGATCGTGTGTCGTGTGTGTCGTGTGTGTCGTGCGCAGGGTGAGTATGTTCTTGAAGGGTCCGTCGGGCCAGATCCTCCCGCCGCTGGTGGACATGGTGCGGGAGAGGTGGCAGCTTGAAGGCAGCGATGGCAAGAAGAATGAACGTGAAACCAGCAGCGAAAGCGAAAAAGACAACTACGAAGAAGCAGAAGAGTGAGTCACCATCTGGTCTGTTCTTCTTGTAAATAAATACACAAATTAATACAAACAAGTAACTTTACACGGAGCCATACAGTGACACCTGCCGTTGGCCGCCGTTCGGATAGAGTAAGTGAGTTTACTACCCCCCCTTGCTAAAGAACGAAAGCGACGCCAAAGCGGACAAGGTAGCGAAAGGGAAGCACCATCTTCGCGGAGTTGGATGGCGTGGGCGAGGGAGTAGTGGATGAGTTGGGTGAGCCACCGTTGGAGCCTCGCCTGCCAGGCGGCCAACCAGCTGACGGAATCGCACTGGCACAGGTCCGACCACACCCGGCCCGACATCACCCCCGCCCGCACCAACGGGTTCGTCTGCCCTCCGCCCTTGGTTCACTCTTCTTTCTGCCTTGGTGGTCAAAGAATGATTACAACTGCCCAAATACCCATTACAGAGCAGACGAAAAGCCTTTCGAAACATTTCGCTAGAACTTGGAAGTGTTTCCGTAATCTAGATTAGTTCTCTTTTTCTGTATTTTCAGAAGATGGAAGGCCTGGCTCCGCATCCGCTGGATTTGCCCCGGTTGCGGTCGGAGCCCGCGGCCGAGGTGCTGCTGGAGGCGCTCGAGGGGCTCGTGGTGCCTCCGCCTTCGTGGGATCGTCCGGCAGCGGACATCACAGCCGAAATCGCGCTGGCCTCCTCTCGTGCCGCGAGCGATTCCGCGCTGGCACATTGGCTGACCCGACTGGTCGGCAGCGACCTGTGGTGGATCGAAGATGACGAGGCCAAGGAGCAAATCTGGAGCTCGGCCTCCAAACGCATGGCCGAGCGCTGCGGCCGGACAGGTGACCCTCTCACCCCTTTCGTATTTTATTTAATTATTTTATTTCAATACTGTGTTGTTATTTATATTATTTATATTATTAGATTTAATACTCATAAATAATTTAGAGTTTCAATAAATAATAATAACCTTGTTGGTGCAGCGGCTCCGGCGATGACGCGCACCTTCAACATACCGAGCGGCACTGTCGGGGATGGGACAGCAACCGCGCCGCCCACGATCGCGATCACCCTGCACGAGCCGCCGCTGACCTCGGATTCGATGGGCCTCAAGACCTGGGCCTCGTCCTACCTGCTCGCCAAGCGACTGCACCACCTCGTCCCCACTGTCCTGCCTACCACCACTTCATCACCACCTTCATCATCGTCGTCGTCATCGTCTTCATCGTCGTTATGGCTGCGTGCGCTTGAGCTGGGCTCGGGCACGGGCCTGGTGGGTCTGTCGGCCGCGGCCCTGTTCGGGTGGGACCTCCACCTCACCGACCTGCCCGAGGTCGTGCCCAACCTCACCAACAACATCGCCGCCAACCGCCATCTCTTCTCCTCTTCCTCCGCCTCCGCCTCCTCCTCCGACTCTTCATCTTCTTCATCGTCGTCTTCATCATCTGACGTGCTGGCGCCGTCGGTGTCGGCGCGCGTGCTCGATTGGACGCAGCCGCTGGCTGACGCCTATTGGCGGGAGCGGGCGGAAGTCGGCGGCTTCGACGTCATCCTGGCCAGCGACCCGCTCTACACCCCGCAGCACCCCGAGCTCGTCGTCTCCTGCGTCGCGCTCTTCCTGCGCAAGCCCGCCACGGCCACGGCCACGGCCACGGCCACGACCACGACCGAGACCAGCGGCGACGAGGGCGGCAAGTTCATCATCGAGCACCCGCTGCGGCCGTCGCACATGGCAGAGGTGGTGGATTGCGAGGCGCGGCTGACAGCGGCCGGACTGGTGCGCGAGGCGGTGGGCGAGGAGGTCGGGTGGGACGACTGGGGCGTGAGCAGCCTCCAGCAGGAGCGACTGCGACTCGGGTCCGGCGACGCCGACGTCGACGCCGACGCAGCGGAGCACATCGGCGGCGTCCGCTGCCGTTGGAGCGTATGGCGATGGCCCACCCCAGAGCCGGCCTCACCCACCAATTGATGCACCCCACACAAGTAATAATGAGAATTATTTATATTTAAGGCTTGGGAATGAAGCGCTACAACGACACAGTCGACAAATAACGATTGGGTTGACCATGAATGTAAAAGTGCACCGCTTCGGCACTGCACGCAGCGATGATGAACGACGAGCGCCCCTATCATCAAATCAAAGGGGACAGGAGTACGTTGAGATGAGAAGAATTTCGCGACGGCCCTAACGACGTGGTTTCCATGGCAATCGTGTGTATCCTTAGGCCGCAAGCTTGTCGACCAAGCACATGCTCAACGCTTGTAGTTTGTGCTTGTACAAAAAAAGAACATGGAGCTCGCACGAGGGTAACTCATCTCGCTTTTCCACCAACCGCCAGCTAGGCGGCTCTGCGGAATGGGAACTCCTGGCTGTTCCATACTTTCTCGGTCAACCCAGGTCTTGACCTGGTGTGCGCCCAACCAGGCGTTGACAAGGAATGGCAACATTCTCCGGGCTCTGGGATACAAAATCTTGAGTGCTGGCTGGGCGCTCTCATTCCAACTCAACCACACTCATCTTCACTGCCTTCTCTCACGGCCTTCTCTGAGGGTCGGCGTGGCGCGAGCTCGAAGAGGCAGACTAGCTACCAACGGCAAGCGCAGAAGACAGGCGGCTTGACAAGAAGTCACGCATAAGAGCTGCTCAGGCTCATCGTCATCATCTTCATCAACAAACACACACATCACCATCAACAACAGCGCTCTTCCGCGCGCCACAAGCAACGCACGGACGCACACGCATTCTAGCCCGCACGCAGAATGTCGAGGCAGTGTCACGAGCAGCAGCAGCAGAAGCAGCAGCAACAACAACACCTGGGCAGCAGCGCGAGCGGCGGCGTCGGCGTGGTGACTGAGTCGGTGGCCTTCAAGCTCGTGTGCGACATGCAACACCTGCGCGGCAAGGTCGACCTCATGTGCAGCCTGGGCGCGGGGCTGGCCCAGCGATGGGTGGAGGAGGTCGTCCATCTTCATCATCAGCATCTTCAACAAAAGCATCGTCAGGCGGTGGAGAGTCGGCTGCGTAGCGAGATGGAGGAACTGGTGCTCGAGCTGGTGGACGTGAGCGTCGAGATTCAACGGATGAAGGAGCGCAAGGAGCTGGCCCAACGCTTCTTCTACCTCGCCGAGCGTCGACGGTCGTGGTGCCAAGTATACGATGAGGACGACACCGATGAAGATGAAGATGAAGCCTTCTACACGTCGACATCATCATCATCATCATCATCATCATCAAAGAAGGGCGAGGCGAAGGCGATGATGCAACTGATCGACCTGGACGAGTGCGACCAGGTGATCGACAAGCTGACGACGCTTCTGCTGGGGTACCTCACCGCCGGCGAGCGCGAGGAGGAGGAACGAGCCCTCCGCATCAAGGCCCATCTCGACATGTCGGCCGCGGACGCCTTCCTTCGCCAACCGATCAGCTCATCAGGCCCCCCTCCGACAGCAGGCGTCATGCGATTACACAACCGCGAGCATGATGACAATTTGCTTCGATAGATCCGATCTATGTAGAAAGAGCGGGTGGAGAGAAAGGAGAGTCGAACGAAGGAGAAGAACATAGGTTTTTGTTCCATCAATAAAGCAAGAAATCAAGAAATCGGTTCCGCCGGTTTTTTTCGAACCAAGGAACATTTTTTATTTTTTTATTCGCCACACGGGACCAACAAACGTGGCGTGCCTTCTTCTACATATCATCGAGGTATGCACATTGGGAGGTAGACATTACGTGTGAGCGTAAGATTGTACTGCAGCAAGACTCTGCTAAGATGCTCGATTTGCTCTGGCGACGTCTTACTAAATCGCTGCAGGAACCCAAGGCTACTTCGTCTTGTGGGTGGAGAGCAGATCGCATTCGAAGATGTTGGGGGTTGAGGAATTGCAGAGGGGGCATGTTGAGACGAGCACACGTGTCTGGTCATTTTCGGTTCTTATTTCTTTTTTATTTGTTTTTTTATTCAAAACAAAACGAGATGAGGCGAGTAGCAGCGATTTCGCACAAGGGCGGCAATGGACCCCTCCTGGCCAGGAGCATCCGCAGCTCAGGCGTACCACTTGCACGCAGAGGCAATGCATCTGCCGCAGATTCCACTTCGCAGCTTCTGCGATCATCCCGTAGTGTAGTGCCTGCGAGGGCGTTCAATCAATGGAGGGGCTTGGCCACCCAGACGCAGCCGCCGCCTACTGCCTCATCGTTTGCCCAGAAGAAGACGAACAGCCCGCCTCAACAGAAATCGTCATCTGCTGCAGACAGCAACATCTACGAGGTGAATGAAGCCAACTTCCTGAAGGAAGCCATCGAAGCTTCAGACAAGCGCGTAGTCCTCATCGACTGCTACGCCGAGTACTTTCCCATCTTCTCAATCATCGCTACACGATTGAGAGATTAACGATGCAATTCTGTGCAGTTGGTGCGCACCGTGCAAGCAGCTGGCGCCGCTGCTGGAGGCAGCCGTGCGCAACTCGGGCGGACGTCTGGCCCTCGCCAAGCTCAACGTGGACAACAATCCCACCCTCTCACGGCAGGTTTGCTCTCTCCATCCTCTCTCTCTTTTGTGTGTGTGGTGTTGGTGATGAAGATTGCGGTGTCGTGCGCCATGGACCTCATCAGTGATGCCCTGCAGATGCAAGTGACGAGCCTGCCCACAGTGATGGCGCTGAGCGGCCGCAAGGTGGTCGATTCGTTCGTGGGTCTCCTGAAGCCCGCTGAGCTCACCAAATTCGTGGAGGGCCTCCTCCAGGACTTTGCGCGTACGTACCATCAACATTCCAGGAATGCCAGGCGCCGCAGCACTGGTCGCTTGCTCACGAGCCAGTTTTGTGTTATCCCAGCGGCGGCTCCGGCAGAGGAAGCCGAGACTGGTGGCAACCTGCTCGAGGAGGCGGAAGCGGAGCTGGCCAAGGGCGACGTCAACCAGGCCGCCGCCAAGTTCTCCCAGGCTTTGGAGAAGGACAAGGAGTGCACCCACCTTGTCTACGCCGGCCTTGGTAAACATTCATTTGTCCCAATTTATGATTCTCCCTTGTGCTTTGGCTCGTCTAACTCGCGCGCAACACAGCCAGGTGCGCGCTCGCGGAGAACAACTTGCAGGCCGCGCAGCACCTGGTCAAGGAGCTCAAGGTCCGTTTGCCTCGCCTGGTTGTCCTTCTGTGCTGCGGTAGCGCTGGCTCTGACTTGCGGTTGTTGTTATTATTGTTGTTTGGTTTCAGGACAAGTACAAGGCCAAGCTGAACGATCCTGCGGTGGGAAAGGCCATCGCGGCCGTTGAGCTGCGGGCGGAGCTGGCGGACAAGAGCGGCGGCAGCGCGCAGGATCTCGAGGCCAAGGTGACCGAGTGGCGTGCCAAGCTGCAGGCCGACGCCAACGACCACCAGGCCCGCTACGACCTTGCCCACGCCCTTTTCAGCACCGGCCAGACCGAGGAGGCGCTCGACCAAATCCTCGACCTAATCAAACGGTTCCTTTACTTCTTCTTATGTCTGTGTGTGTGTGTGTGTGTGTGTGTGTGTGTGTGTGTGTGTGTGTGTGTGTGTGTGTCAGTTGCTCACCCGTTGTTCTCACGTTGGTTGAATCTAAAACAACAGGGACAAGCACTGGAACGACGAGGCGGCGCGCAAGCTGATGCTCAAGATCTTCTCGGCGCTGGGTCCCAACAACGAGCTCACCACCAAGGCCCGGAAGCGGTTCGCCTCCATCTGGTTCTGCTGACAAATACACCTTCTTGACGACGACCCAACTAGTATGCACGCTCGACGTAGAATTACATTACTTTCAAATTTATTACAGTAATTTCGTACGCTGACCTACAGACAGATCAGCCGAGAACATTCCACTCGGGCAGGGCGGCCTGGGCGTGCCCGCGCAGGGTGGCCAGCACCTCGTGCTGCGAGCCCTGCATGGTCGACTGGCCCCACTTGGCCGCGCCGCCGCGGCCAAAGGCCAGCGTCTTGGCCTGCTCCTCGTTGAGCTGCGGCAGGGTGCGGCCGTAGGTCAGCCAGAAGGTGGACCACCAGGCCGGCACGAAGATCGGCAGCGCGGCGGGGCTGGGCACGCTGTGCTCAGTGGGCCGGTCGGTGCGGCCGCCGACCACCAGCGAGCCGATGTTGTCGGCGAACTTGCGCGACGACTCGATCTGCGCGGCGATGGTGCGCATGGCCTCCTCATCAGCCACTCCGTTTGCCGTCGACTTGTAGAACTGCGCAATGAGGAGACATGTCAGCCGTGTGCGGTGTGTGCGGTGGTGCGTGTGCGGTGGTGTATACCTGCAGGGTGACGCGGACGGGGAATTGGGGATCGCGTTCGATCGCGATGCCGGCGACCTCGTCGAAGGGACCCTCGGCCTCGCCCACCTTGACGATGGCGTCCTCCACGTCGGCGTCCTCCTCTTCCAGACATGCGTACGCATCCGAGGAGTTCATGCATTGCTTCTCGCACATCGGCGCTGCCGACGCACAGGCATACATCCTGTGCCATACCGCGCGCGCGCAAACACACACGCATCAGCGCACACGCACAAACCATGACGTCAGAGATGCCGCGGTCTTAGGAGGGCGAGCAAGCAAGACAACGTACGGTGGCATGAAATACGTGGGTCGCTGTGCTTGCTTCAAAGGTACTTGAATCACCATGATCATGTTCTGCGTCATGCAATGGTGAGTGACTTAGGCCTCGTTCAGGATCACTGTGTGTGTGTGTGTGTGGTGTGTGTGTGTGGTACAAACATGTGATGGTACCTGTTGCTTCTCCTCCTTGGTCATCTCGCCCTCAGTTGCTACACCGCGTTCCTTGCGATTGTCGCTCAGGCGCTGACCGATGAAGCTGGCCTTCTCACCGCTCTTGTTGAAGTACAGCTTCTGACTACCGTCCTGCACCACCTGCGCCGACGTGCCCTGACTGTACTGCGAGGTGAGTTTCCTCTTTCCGACACACGACACACGACACGCGACACGCGACATGCGACACGCGACACACATGCACACCACGCGCGCTCGACACGTACCTGGTGGCGACGATGGCCAGCACGGCCGGGTGCCCGCTGTAGGACTGGTAGTTGAAGATGGAGACGTTGAACGTGGCGTCGCTGCCCTTGGGAACCGGCAGGAAGCACGCCTGCGACGACATGAGCGCATGGCTGTCCCTCTCCGCCGCGTACAGCGACGTCCTGCAAATAACACGACACACGACACACGACACACGACACACGACACATGACACATGACACACGACACACACGATGGTGGTTAGACACAACATGACACACGACGTGGAAGCAGAAGAAGGTGTCGTACTTGGAGCCCTTCCACGACTGGGGGTTGTGGAGGTAGAGGCGGAAGTTCTCGAGGTACTCCTTGAGCGTGACCGTGTACAGCTGGCCGCCCTTGATCTCGTTGCCCACCACCAGCGGGATCTTCTCCATCGGCACGTCCCTGCGTAGTGCAACCAAAAAGCAAAGATGAGAGATATGCTCTCAACTTTGCGAAGATGATGAAGATGAAGATTCGTGTAGAATAATAAATCAGATGAATTGCGTAAGATGATGAAAAGATGTGAAGGTGCAGTGGCGCACCAGGTGAGGTCCTCGAAGTTGGGGTGGCGCACGAGCGGGAGGGCGTGGTCGAGCACGTTGAGGGTCATGTCGCTGATGCACGGCCCCCAGCACGAGCCCTTGAAGCGGCCGTTGTCCTCCCAGGCCACGCTCATAACGTCGAGGCCGAACTTGCCCGCCAGCTGCCGCGCGTTGGTGCGGCCGTCCACCATCCGCTCCACCTTCTTGATGAGGTCGAGCAGGCTCTCGTTCTTGCCACCCGTGGTGTTATTGAGGGCCAGCAGGGCGTCGATGGTGGCCGCCTCGTTGCCCTTGTGCTGCTGCATGACGGCCTCGAGCACGTCTTGCGACAGGTCGGGGAACATGGCCGTGAGCTGTTGCTTGAGTGCTGCCATTACGATAAAGTGAAGTTGAGAAGCTCTGTATATATCTGGGATTGAAGCGTAAGTGCCCGGTGAGGCCTTCGGTATCTTATCATGGCGTGCAAGGTCAGCGAAGACCTCTTTTTGCACTTCACTCAACGGTTCACCGAACCCAAAAACTGTGAGCATAACCCAAATTCTTACGACAAAGAGCTGCGTGGAAAATATGTAAGAAATTACATTTTACTTTGGATTCTGAGGTGCTGCCGAAAGTGCGGCAGAAATTCCACCAGTTAGGCGCCACTTTTCCTCCACGAGCCCGAACCGTGGAAGAGTTGCCAACGCGGTGAAGGCACACAGTACCACAGACCACGCGTTCACCACTACGTCTGATTGAATCGATTGAAAAAAAGAAGATCGCCCGTTATTTGCTTTTGTAAAGATGGAAGATTTCTTCAGGGAGATCCGAGAGATGGACAGGCGGATGGACGCCGAGATGGCCCATATGGACACCATGATGACGATGGGCGACTTCGAATCCCCCTTCTTCGCTCGCGACCGCGACACGCTCGACGAGTTCTTCCTCCTCTCGCGGCTCGGTGCCTTCCCTTCCTCTTCTTCGAATCATCGTCATCTTCATGATCATCGTGGCCAGCGCCTCATCCACGGCCGGCCCCTCACCCAGCGCGAAGAGCGCGAGCGCCGCGCCCGCAAGGCCCAGTCGGCCTTCCGCGAGGCCGTGCGCCAGGGCGACGCCAGAAGTGTCGCCACGCTACTCGCGCGCCAGGTGGTCGAGCCCGCCACCATCGACGCGCCCTACACGCTCGGCGGCCACGAGACGAGCCCCATGCTCGACGCCTGTGGCGCGGGCCACGTGGACGTCGTGCGGCTGCTCATCGAACACGGCGGCGACGTTAATCGGCGCGTGGGCCAGGCCACGCCGCTCTACGTGGCGGCCAAGGCGGGCCACGGCCGGGTGGTCGAGCTGCTACTGGAGCGCGGGGCCGAGACCGAGCCGCGGCTGGGCACGAGGCGCAACTCGGCCGTGGCCGAGCTGCCCGGCGGCTCCCTGGTTCGCGACACACCGCTCCACGCTGCCATCAGGTATCATGCGCGTGTTGTGTGTGTGTGTGTGTGTGTGTGTGTGTGGTTCTGACGTGTGTTTGGTGATGTTGGTTCGTGGTGTTCAGGCAGCACCACCATGACGTGGTCGACATGCTGCTGGGCAGGGGCGCCAGCTTCCTGTCGCCGGACTACGCGGGCGAGACTCCGATGGACCTCCTACGCCGCTGGGCGCAGGACGTGTGAAGGGCCCTCTCAGGGGTGTGGCATGGTCCTGCTCGTGGTCTGAAAACGTGTTGTGTACCAGAGCAGCTCCATTAAAATGTACATTGCCTTCAAGACTCTCCCACTCAGCTCGGTCTGGTCAGGCTGCGCTACAACAAATTAGAAAAGTGTTGTTTTGTTTTTTCTTGGATGGAGGAAGCAGAAGCAGGCAGCAGCGGTGTGAAGAAGCCGCCCAGCGAGTATATTGACGTGGTTCTGGTGGGTGGAGGCCATGCCAATGTGCAGGTACAAGAAGAATCTTTACATTGATTTATTTGATTTCTGCTTTTATTTATAAAATAAATAATAAAAATAATAATACAATATTATTAACTGTGGCTCAGGTGATGAAGCTGCTGGCTCAGCAGCTGCGGCCTGCCGATAGGGTGCGGGTGACGTTGATATGCGACACCACCACGGCCTGGTACTCGGGCATGCTGCCCGCCTGCCTCGCCCAGATCTACCACCCCTCAGGTGCCCTGCGTGTCGTGTGCCGTGTGTGCGTGCGCGTGCGGTTGATTGATCTAATCTCCTGCGAGGTGGTGGCAGAGCTGCAGATCCGGCTGGAGCCGCTGGCCAAGTGGTGCGGCGCGCGGTTCATCCACGCATGGGCCGAGCGTATCGACTTTGCCCGAAACCTGGTCGTGTGCCGGCGCGTCGCCGATCACCAAAGCGGCGACCTCACCGACTACCCACCACGACCACCACCACCAACGACCGCAGAGGACGCTGAAGCCGAAGCCGAAGCGGAAGAGCGAAGCCATGAGGACTACGTGCCCTCCATCCGCATATGCTGTGCGGGAGGGACCAGTACTGGCAACGAACATTATGCGAATGATCAGACGTATGGCACAACACGCACATGTACACGCACACGCACATGCACCACCGCACACGCACCACCGCACACGCAGGCCTCTGTAATTCATGTCGGTTGGGGCGGGCACAGGGCTGCGACGAGGGCGCAACGAGGCCTCCCTGGACGTGTACGCGCCGCAGGCCAACTTCCTGGCGCTCATGATGACCGGCGACGGGCAGGCCATTGGGTCCTACCGCGGCATGGCCTACACCGGCTCCCTCGCCTGGAAGCTCAAAGATAAAATCGATCGGTACACGTGCGTGTCGTGCGTGTCGTGCGTGTTGTGTGTCGTGTGGCGCGTGTGCGTGTGTTGATGCTTGTTGTGTGTTCGATTGCGCCATCAGGTCGTTCATGCGATTGTTCGATGTGGCGCACATGGGGCCGAGCCCGGTGGCGCGGGCGCCCGAATGGGATGACAAGCACCCCTCGTGGCAGCGCAGCCAGCGCCGATGCGCCGCCAAGAAAGCGAAAACGAATGCGAAAGCGAAAGCGACGGATGCGGCATCGGCCGATATGGTGCGCCACGTAGACGACGACAACGACGGCGAGATCGAGGCAGCGCGCAGGCAAATCCAAGAGCGTGAGCGAATGGCAGAGGATGAGGTGGTCGGTGATGATGCTGGTGGTGCTGAAGAAGATGAGGAGGATGAGGGTGAAGGGGATGATCGCGAAGATTCGTGGTGGTGGCGCGAGCCCAGCCGGTAGTTGTAGCCCGCCACCGCCCCACCGCCAGCCGCCACCAATTGCCGTCAACCATTGTAGACACGTGGAGCATAAATGGGCCTGGCTCTGATTGTTGTGCTGTGGTGCTGACACGGCAGCATTAGCACTGTTCACCAAGGACATGCAATGACAACATTCCTTCCATGCTCTTCTTTGTGTACCAGCTGGTGTACTAAGTGGTGACATGAGAATGTGGGCAAGTTTATTACAAGGAATTGGTATGTTCACCAACAAGTATTACATAGGCACATTCTTTGTGTTATTGAGGCCACCAGCGAGCACGACTGCGTGAGGTAGCAGATTACCTCGTCGACGTCGACGCGCCGTCGCGTGTCGCGATAGCGCCGTCGCGTGTCGCGACCGGCTGCTGAGTAGGCCCGTGGCACAGGTGCGTATGGACGTGCTCCACTTGGAGAGGTCCAACGAGTTCGTGCAGCACCTCCTTGATCTGCTTGGCGTCATGCACCGAGGCGGTGCGGTCGGCTTCGAGGGCAGGCGCGCTCCCGTCGTTGCCAATGTTGACCTCGCGCAGCAGCTGGGCCACGTTGGCGCGCGCCGACGAACGCGCCAGGCTCACCTTGGCGTCGAGCGGCCAAAACAGCGACACGTTCATCAACGGCACGCTCTGTTGGGGGGAGACTGCACGTACACGTCCAGCATGTTGCGGTAGCCCTCGTAGGCCCACAGCGCCAAGCCAGCGGACATGGCAGACCACCACTGCTCTGGCGTCTTGGACACCACAGCATGCGCGGTACGCTGCCAGTGGGCAAATGGTGTGCCCGGCCAAAAGATGTTGAGTCTGTAGCGGGAGCAAACCCTCGGGCAGATTGCGGTCGCTGCGGTTTGTACTATTACACACGTCCATCGGCCACTGGTGAGTGAGCGAGCACAAGTTTTGGTCTCTTTTCATGTCATTTTATGCGTGGAACAAAACAAGGGAACACCAGGCGTGCACAAACCACTGACCCTCCTATTCTGTTTTTAGTCTCACCCTCCCCCACAAGACACTATCATTGCTTGACTTCCTTCACGGGGTCGAAGACTCCTGGTCTTTCACACAAACCCAGCGAGGTGCTCATTTATCACTAGCGCCGAGGCATCGTGGTGCTTAGCTTTGGCCCTTGTCGTTTTGGCGATCATGCTCAGCCGGATAAGCGTGATAACGAGAGTGACCTGGATTGATACATGAAGCACCTCATGGTCAGTACAGGAGCGAGAGAGAGCCAGGACCGGCGATTCAGCCTGAAGTACCTGAACGAAAACAAAGGCCACGAAGACCCATCCTTCCCTGATCCCAAACACGCTTATCCCTTGTCCTTCAACGCCACAACGAAGGCCCTCGTCACGGCAGTGCTCCAGTGTGTCAAGATACATGACACCGTAAAGGCCTGCACAGCCAAACAGAGAGTTATAGTGGCAGCTATTGCCTCAGGTTGCAAGATGAAGAACAGGTGGAACGGTACCCACAGAGGCAAGGGCGTAGATCAAGTGCATGGCAGCACCAAACAAAAGCACCCAAGATTTGTGGTAGGCAACACCTAGGACCTCCAGTAGTGGACCACTGCCAACGCGCCAGAGCAAGACATTAAGTCCACCAAAGGATCACAAACAACAACAGCAAAAGTTGATGGGCAAAGATGGCAACAAACCTCAGAAAGAACAAGGCACAGAAGGGACCAAGTGCAAAGCTTGCATAAACCGCTACGCACTGATCACATGAGAGAGAGAGAGAGGGGGCTTAGTAGATTCCCACGATAGTCGCACAAAAAAAGCTGCTGTGAGGGGTTAGGCATGTACGGCGTGGAAGAGGATGCCATAGAGGAGAACAGCGACGGCTCCTCCCTTCATGGTTGTTTTGCTGTGGTTGAAGGGAAAAGAATTCAGGTCTGTTGTGCGCGCGGCGAAGTAATGTTGTGCGTTGCATGTCGCGTTGCAGTTGTTTTGCCCGCCACGTGGCTGGCCGTTGGCGGTTGGCGGTTGGCGGATAATTTAATGTGGTATTTTAACAATGCAGCCCCAATGCTTACTTAAGGCTCAGGTTGTGGTGCGTGTGTGTGTATGGTACATGTGCTAGCGGTGCACACAAGCATGCACTTGGGTGTGCATGTGTGCTTATGTCCTGGTCAGCTTGTTTGGGCTGCAGGCTGATGGCACTGCCATGGTGACTGACCCCATGGGCCGCAAGCTCTACTACCTTGTGAATGGCATGGTCTGCAGGTCCGAGCTCGACGGGTCCTGTCCTGCTGTCTACGCGTGCATGAGACCTGCAACCACAATCAGCTCCTTCGCCCTCAACGTCAAGCAGCGCCTCATCTTCTACAGCGAGGGCAACAGGCCTGGCTGCAACATCCGCCGAGCTCGATGCGTCCCAGAAGTCACCGGTGCTGGCCTACTCCTGTCCCCTCACTCAGCGGCGCTACCCTCCGGTGTCGCTCGCCTCCGATCCGGTCCCCGCGTCCTGTACCAGCTCGAGTGCCCCGGCACGTACCCATCGTGCTCTCTCTGTGCCATTACGCCGGTACCCATCGTCGGACAGCTCGTCTACGCTCCTCGCTTCGTTCTACACTCGACCTGCAACACAAGACGCTCTTCTTGAGCAATTCGTCCGGCAAGACGCTCCTCCGCTGTCCGCTCTCTGGCCAGGCGTCCTCCACTTGACCTGCTTCGATCTTCACCTCAATCCGCACCCTCGGCTCATCGCGATCGCTGTCGATGCCCCGCGGTGCCAGCTCTATGCCATCGCCAAGCCTAGCTACACCGTGGTGCGCTTCGAGCTCGCCGAGCCCGACTCGCCGCAGCCCAACCTGGGCGGAGTACGTGAACGCCAGCGCCTTCTGGGTCGATTCCGCCCTGGGGCTCTTCTACTGGACCGAGCGCCTCCGGCTCGACACGCGTGTGGCGCACCTCGACTTCCTCGATCACTTGGCGACGGTGTTGCTGGTGCCGCTGGCCAACAGCAAGACCGTGCTGGTGGACGACCTGCGCGGCTGGATCTACTGGAGCGACGCCTCCCAGGGGCGGGTGATGCGGGCGCGCATCGACGGCGGAGGAGACACTCGTCCGAGTGCTTCTGGATCGGCGAGTACTACAAGATGACGCAAACCAGGCTGCAGGCGGTCGAGCCCGTCACCGGCGACCTGATAGTCTTGGCCTATGACGCCTCGGTTCCTGATGTGAGGGTGAAGCGGCGCAGCCTTGCCACCGGCGAGGTCTCCGTCTTGCTCTCAGTTCGCTTAGGCATCTTTGGCCCGCTCTCGGGGCTCGGCGCAGCGCAGCTCGACCCTCGCGCCGGCGTGGAAGCCAACAGAGCGGACCAGGGCTTCATCGCCACGGCGTGCACCGGCTAGAACAAGGTCACTCGCCTCGTCGACCTGCCGCAAGTCCCCTGGACGATGCAGCTCCTGCCCGACCTCGGCCACTGTCTGCCACCTTCCGACCTCGCCTGTGACGACGGCTTCTGAAGCTTCTTTTCTTTTTGTTTTTCTGCCTTTTCATTAATTAAAAAATTCCATCATTCTGTCTCCTTGATGGTTGTTGCGGTTTAGTTCAGCGTGCGCGCGGTTGGCTGGCTGGCTGGCTGTGTATAGGCGAGGGAGGAGAGCGCGCACATGTACCGATGTAGCCAAGGAGAGCATCACTCACGCCCGTTTCGATGAGGGTGAGCGTCTTGCACGCAGAAAAAAGCCAAAGTGGCGCCTTTTGTGTGTGCAACATGCATGCGAGAAGTGAGCATTTATGGTGCATGGGAAGATGAGACAGATGCGCACTTATGCGCATGCCATGTGCGCACAGAGGCGCCTTGTTGTTGTCGCTCCGTTCGCCCGTGGTCGCCATCGCAGTTTTGTGATGCCATCACTTGGCCTTGCCTTGCTGCCGTGGCCGCCCAACTTGCTGGTCTTGGTCCAGGCCTTCTTGGGTGCTTGGCCCTTGCCTTGCTTCTTCCCTCTCTTCTTCTCCTCCTTCTTCTCACCTTCACTGTCGCTGCTGTTGCTATTGTTGTCAATGCTGCTGCTGTTGGTTGCAGGCACTGAAGAAGATGCCAAGTCCATCAAGTTCAGTTTGGCAGAAGTTGCCTGTGTACACAATCAGTCCAGAGAGTGGGATCAACAACTTGTGGTGTACACAATTTGTGATGTACATACCTTGGCTCTGGCTGGTGGCAAAGGTGTGCCCAACATGAGCAGCATCTATTGGTGAGATGAAGCTCAGAGAGTGTGAGTACATGGGTGATGTGTGCAGATGTACCCTGGGCAATGGCTCCCCTGCCACCTGTTGCCTCTGCACTGGTGTCTGTGATATTCATTATGTGTATCAGTCATAAAGAAAGGGTGAGGTGAAGAGGTCTCCTGCACTGGTGTGGTTGGGGTCTGCAGCTGTTACATGGCAGTGTAGGGTGAGTACAAAGTGGAGAGGAGGGCAATGAGTTAAGAGATGAGATGTACCATACTGCTAGGGCTAGTGCTGCTTGGTTGTGCCATGCCAGCCAGCCCACTTGCTTGCTGCACCAAAGCTGTGCAAGCAAACATTTAAATGCAGCACAGCACACAACAAGATGTAGAAGAAACAAACATGCCTTCAGCCTGTGCAACATCAGTCCTTCCTTCCAGCTCTGAAAAGATGCTTGACTTACTTACTCCTGTGTATGTGTTGCAGTGCCAACACACTGCTACACAGGTCAATGACACTGAGCTCCCATCATCACACTACTGCCCTCCCTGGGTGCACAAAGCCTTCACAGCCACTCCACTTGCCTGCCTTGTGTCAATTGCCAACTAGTCAAGCAAGATGGGTCACCCAAGGTTGGCAGCTTCCAGGGAGTTTGAACAAGAACTGTGTGCCAGCCTGCACACACTATTGCGTAATTGAATGCAGGTTGCAGCCAGGCGCATGGCAAGCTTCCCTTTTTGTTGACTTATTTTCCCCAGTGCACAAGGGGATATTATCCCCACATAGATGAGGAGGAGGGACCAATAGGGAATAAAAAGGCATTTTCCCCACAAAGAGTCATTATTGGTGTCTATCTTTAGTGTTGTGTTTTTACTGTTATTTAACGATTATTTCCCCACACTAACATGTTATTGGATGATCTTGTGTATTGTTTGTGATTGGTCAGGTTATCAGATATATAATAAAGAAAGACATTTGTGTGTTTCAGTGCAATGCAACAAGAAAGAAAAATCAGTCCAAAAGAGGCAAAACCAACTGACATCACCAAAGAGACATGTGGGGATTTATCTATTCCCTACTTCTATTGGCCAAACTGTATTAATATTCATGGTGGGACTTTACCTGGCTTGTAGAAATTCATTGTGGTGGTCTAAGAGAATTTAATTTAGTATGCAGAGCTGGCATGCAATGCAAGTGGAAAGATTTCCATCTTCCCTCACTTCTTCATGTCAAAATTGGTTGGCAATGCTGTGCCAGCTACATACAGAGGCACTGCAGTGCAGCCACCTGTGTGAAAGCTTCACATGGTTGATCAGCAGCACAACAGGCAATGGAATTCACACCCAGGCTGTAACCCTTTTACATTGTGGTGGAAACTCAGTGAAGGACTTGTTGGGGAGGGTTTTTCAGTCAACAGTGAAAGGTAGTAAGTGAGACAAAAGGACCATGACAGGCGAGCAGCACCCAAGCACGAGAGAGCGCAGCTTCTTGCAGCTGCAGGTGAGCATTGAGACCATGTCAGTGCAGATGTCCACATGGTAGATCTGTTGTGCAAGCCGTCAACTCATGGGTCCTACCACAGTTACTCCTCTCTCTCTCTATCTCTCTCTCTTCAGGAAGACAAGAAGGCGACGACGGACTGTGCGCTGCACGTGACGCCATTGCACAACAAGAAGTGCAAACTAATCAAAAGTAGTATTACACTGTGCCTGATTATTAGGGCGAGGTCTGGTCAGGGGAGGGCGGAGAGGCGTTGGGCCTGCCGAGCGAGCAGGCGGCACGCGTCGGAGCCGCAGCTGATGGCGAACCCATCGTAGTTGGGGTAGTTGTCCGTCACCAGCATCCAGAAGCTCCACCCGTTGTACTTGGCGTTGTACATCGCGTTGGTCCACTGAGTGTAAATGTTCACCTGGTCTGCACCAAACATATGTGGAATATTGGAAAGTGTATGATAGGGAAGTATAAAAATAACCAATCAAATACAGCATATTGGTTCAATTTCAATAATTTTATACAATATTACTATTTCAATCTGAAATATCAAATATCAGCGGGATGTGTACCGTAGGTGATGCCGAACTCCTCCATGACGACGGGCTTGCCGACCTGGTGCGCCCACTGACTGTGGGTCTGGATCCAGCCGTCGGCCCACTGGACGCTCTTGCTCCACGACGACGGGTACAGGTGCGCCGTGAGGAAGTCGATCGAGCTCAGCCGCCCGAAGCCGAGCGAGTCCACGCCCGCATAGCAGTCCATCGTCCAGTCCCACCCCACCTTCACCCCCCCCCGTACATCAGTCAACTGTGCGTGTGCGTGTACGTGTGCGTGTGCGTGTGCGTGTGCGTGTGCGTGTGCGTGTGCGTGTGCGTGTGCGTGTGCGGTGGTGCGTGTGCGTGTGCGGTGGTGCGTGTGCGTGTGCGTGTGCGGTGTGATGGAAAGGAAATGTACGGAATTGCCGTCGAAGCAGCCGAAGCCTTCGTCGCCGACGGCCACCATGTGGTTGGGGTCGATGCTCTTCACGTAGGCGCTCATCTCCGCCACCCAGCGCGTGATTATCGCCGCACCCGCCCCGTAGTTGCAGGCACTCGACGTCCCTGCATGCAACACGACACACGACACACATCGCACACATTTGTTAGTGACCGCACACAACACACCGCACACACACGCGGCGGGAGCGCACGCACCATAGTCGCCGGAGCCCTGGCAGCGGAGCTCGTTGGCCAGCTCCCAAGCGAAGATGGCCGGCTCGTCCTTGTACAGCCGGCCCGTGTAGACGTTGCGCCGGTTGAGCACGTGCGCCACCCAGGCCTGGTACCACCCGCGGATCGTCGCGTCCGTGTAGAAGTCGTCGTGGTGCCCGCCGCCGCCGCCGTTGCGCCACCGCACGTACTGGTCCATTCCGCCGAACTCTTTCCAGTTGTTGGTCAGCACCACGATCACCTTCACGTCGTACGCCGCCTGAAATCGCACACACGGCACACGTTAGCACGACCGTACACACGCACACATGAGATATGAGATGAGACGCACGACACGCGCAGGCGGGAAAAGAGAGGCGTACGGCGCGGGCGATGACGAGGTCGAGGCGCTGGAGGCCGTTGGGGCCGTCGTTGAAGGCCGGCTTGGTGCCGTCCCAGAAGTGGAAGAACACGCCCTCCTTGATGCCGTCGACCGAGTTGGACCCGTCGGCGTTGCCCACGTCGGTGAAGCCCCACACGCGCACCACGTTGAACCCGTAGGCCGACGCATTGCCGAACAGGTGGTTCACCATCTGCTTTGGCTGTGGTGTGCCGCCATTGGCGCGTGGTTCAAAAAAATGCAGTATTTATTAATTGTTTGGCCAATGAACAAAAAGTTGGTTATAATGGAGGATGAAAGAGAGGGGAGGCTTTGGGGGTACTTTGTAGTGGAGGTAGTAGTTGTTGGTGCCGCCGAAGCGGAACGGCTGGCTGGTGGCAGAGTCCACGAACCCCATCCCGTCTCGCTTGATAAACCCGGCAACTGCGGGTACAGCGGCAAGGACCACCAAGAAGAGCACAGCCACGACGAACGTCGCCTTTCGTCTCTCCATCGTGGTGCGTGGCACCTTCTTGCTCTTGGTCTTCTTTTTTTTTGTGCTGGCTGGCTTGAAATTTCACAAAGTTCACACAAAAACAGAATTCAAATGTGATTCCGCAGAAATTTAACAATAGTACTGAGCACATGGTACCTTGGGCGTTCTTGACAGACATCATGATCCATTGTCCAGGCTCATCCCCATTGTCAGACTATGAATTTTCATTGTTGGGGTAGAGTGCCTTCTCCCCCTCATCAAAACTGGTATGGATCAGATCAGGCAGCACCGTGGTCTCCCCAGCCGCCAAAGACAACCTCAGCCATGAGGCAGCCCAGGCACCTGAGAAAGCTGTTCCCCATCACCTCACTGGCACAGGTGAGAAGGTGTGGCAGTGCCTCTCCTTCAGCCCAGAGCCACGTGCATACATCCAACGCACACCTTTGATGGGACCATCTGTGCCTGGGGCCAGCTTAGGTAAGGCGCTCTTCCACGGCTGAGGACTCAAGCGAGAAAAGCAACAACCATTTCTTCGCGCCAAGATATGTGCGGAATTTAATAACTGGGCCAACCCCAGCACACTTCACGCGATGATGAAGAAGCACGGCAGTCTCTCTGTTCTTCTCCTTTTAGTCGTAGTACTCTACGCCTTCGCTGCCGTCGGACGCGCACAAGTACTCCGTCCCTTCCATACTTCGTGCAACCATTTTTATTTACTTTTCTTATTTTCGTTTTCGTTCTTTGCCCCCCCCCCTTTGTAGGAGTGCCACGCGGGAGGCGTGCGGGAGGACTGCTGCCCGCCGGGCTCGCCCTGTGCCGGCGCCAGCGAGTGCGAGGCGCGCGGCTGCTGCTGGAGCCCCGTCTACCCGCCCAACGAGTGCTCCACCGGCACGCCCAACTGCTTCAAGCCCAACCCCGCCCTCCAAGGTTTGCTCCTCTCCACCCGCGCGTGTGAGGTCGTGCGTGCGGCGTGTGCGGTTGCGCGTGTGCGGTGTGGCTTATGGCGCGTGCGGTTGCGGGTGCGCAGGTTACGCGGTCAAGACCGTGCGGGAGACCGACTACGGCATCGAAGCGAGCCTCGGACTTATCGACGGCAAGAACCTCTTCGGCGAGGACATTGCCACGCTTCAGATGAGCGCCTACTTTGACACTGAGGTGCGTGTGCGCACGCGCGTGTGCCATGTGTGCGGCGTGTGAGGTGCTGACGTGTGTCGTTTCCCTTGTGTGTGCGCACACACAGACGCGGTTGCACGTGAAGATCTACGACCCCAACAACGAGCGGTGGGAGGTGCCCCGCGTGGCGCTCACCGGGCTGCCCGCCAAGAAGGCCGCCACCACCGAGTACCGGTTCTCCTACACCACCAAGCCCTTCGGCTTCGCCGTCAGCCGCCGCGCCACCGGCGAAGTCCTCTTCAACACCACCACCACCGGTACCTCACCACCGCACACGACACACACGCACTCACCACACACATGACCGCACACGCACACGACACACGACACACGACACACGACACACGACACACGACACACGACACACGACACACGACACACGACACACGACACACGACACACGACACACGACACACGACGCACGCACACACTAATAATGGTTGTGTGCGATCGCAGGCGTGTTCAATGGGCTGGTGTTCGAGGACCAGTACCTGGAGATCTCGACGCAGCTGTCGCCCAACGCCAACCTCTACGGCATCGGCGAACACGTGAAGCCCCTCCGCCTCAACACCACCGGCTTCCTCTACACCCTCTGGGCCAATGGCACGAAGTTCCTCCATATTTTGTCGACGCATATCAACCACCCAGCGCTGACCGTGTTGTGTGTCGTGCGGTGGGGTTGACCGTGTTGTGTGTCGTGTGCCATGCGTGTCGCGCGTGTCGTGTCATGCGTGTCGCGCGATCGGATAACAGACAACGGCGGCTCGCCGGCGTTCACGAACATGTACGGTTCGCATCCGTTCTACATGGAGCTCCGCAGCACGGGCGCCCACGGCGTCTTCCTTCTCAACAGCAACGGTACCTCTGCGGTGTGTGGGGTGGTGTGTGCGGCGTGCGCGGTCAAGATATGTGTCGTCTTACCTTCCGAGGCGATGCCAGGCATGGACGTTTACGCGGGTCCGGAGCAGCTGACGTACCGCACCATCGGCGGAATCCTCGACTTCTACTTCTTCGTCGGTCCCTCACCCGCCGAGGTCATCAGCCAGTACACCGAAGTCATCGGCAAGCCCTTCATGGTACGCACTGCCCCCCCCCCGGACCACCCCAGTCGGTGCTGACGATGTGACACGTCACGTTTTATTTTTGTGTGGGATGAAATGTGATGTATGCAGCCGTCCTACTGGACGCTGGGCTTCCACCAGTGCAGGTGGGGCTATCGCACCCTCGAAGGTATGCATACCAACCACCGCGCAACATGTGGCCCCATCGCTGATGGCACGACACACGTACCGGTGGTGCGGGAGCAGAGGTGAAGAATGTGGTGAGCAACTACTCGAGCCACAACATTCCGTTGGACACCATGTGTACGCTACCGCTCGCCGCCATCACACCGCCTTCAATTGCTCACATTCATCGACGTCGTCTTCACTTGATCAGGGATCGACATCGACTACATGGACCAGTACCGCGATTACACGTGGGACCCCGTTCGGTTCCCCGTCGCGGTATGCGCTCCCTTTATTTCATTATATTATTTTATGTATATTATTGTGAAATAGATAAACAAACATAAATCCTTTTTTTAATATTATATTGTTTATTTATTTTGGCCGAGTGCAGGAGGTGAAGAGGTTTGCAGACAAGCTGCACGCCAATGGGCAGCACTTCGTGGTGATCGACGACTGCGGCATCCCCAACGTCACCAGTACGCACCCCTCCATCCACGTTCACCACCCGCGCACACGTCCGTCAATCGCTGAACATACAACCTTGAACTACTACAGGCTACGCCCCGTACGAGCAGGGCCTCGAACTCGACATCTTCATCAAGCAGAACAACGGTACCGCGTTGTGTGTCGTGTGCGTGTCGTGTTGTGTCGTGTCGTGTGCGGTGCCTCACTTCTGTGCGCGGGGGCGGGGTCAGGCAAGGACCCGTACATCGGTAAGGTGTGGCCGGGTTCCACGGCGTGGCCCGACTTCTTCCACCCCGACTCCGACAAGTACTGGAGCACGTCCATCAAGGGCTTCCTCTCCACCGTTCCCGTCGACGGTAATTCCTTGGTGGCCTGATTGCCTTCATGGTTGGCTGACGTGGCATTGTTGCTCACGCACACACCGCACACATCGCACACACCGACAGGTCTGTGGACGGACATGAACGAGCCGGCCAACTTCTGCGACGGCTACTGCGATGGCGAGGCGCCCAAGCGTGCGACGTCAGGCGCGTTCGACCCCAACTACCCGCCCTACGCCATCAACAACCGCAACTGCCGGTAAGGGTTTTCCTCCGTGTGCGAGTGTGTGCGGTGGTGCGTGTGCGCGGTGATGCGTGTGTGCGGTGATGCGAGTGTGCGCGGTGATGCGAGTGTGTGCGGTGATGCGAGTGTGTACGGTGATGCGTGTGTGCGGTGGCTCACCGCTTCCCTCTTTCCGCACGCAGGATGCCGTTGTGGTCGCACACCGTGCCGCAGGACCTGAAGCTCTACAACACCATCGGTACACACACTACACTCAACACGCAACACGCAGGTGTTTTTAACTCCGAATTCAACAATGTAACGCAGAGTACAACGGACACAACATGTACGGCATCACCGAGGCCAACTCGACCTCGCACGCCCTCCAAACCCTGCGCGGCAAGCGCCCCTTCGGTACTCCTCACTCTCTTATTTATACACATTAATATGTTGTGACACATTTAATATTGTATGACAGTGCTTAGCCGTTCGACGTTCCCCGGGCACGGCCGCCGCGCGGCGCATTGGCTCGGAGACAACTACTCGACGTGGGACGACCTTTACTACGCCATCCCCGGCATCCTCGCCTTCAACATGTTCGGCGTGCCCCTCGTCGGCGCCGACATCTGCGGCTTCTGTACGTTATTTATTTATTTTATTTTATTTTATTTTATTTATTTGGGCGTTGGTTTTGCATTTTATCTTATCATCATTATTATTAATAATAATCATCTTTTAAATCGAACATAGCGTACAACACGACGGAGGAGCTGTGCGCTCGTTGGATGGAGGTGGGCGCCTTCTACCCGTTCTCCCGCAACCACAATGCCGTCGATATGACGTCGCAAGGTATCTGTTGTTTCTTGCTCAATGATTGGTTGGAATTTAACTGTTCCATTTTATAACAAAACAATATGTACATATAAAAGAGCCCTACGTGTGGCCCACCGTAGCGGCCATCAGCCGATCGGTCCTGCGCACGCGCTACTCCCTCCTGCCCTACTACTACACCCACTTCTTCCTCGTACGCGCCGCCCAATCGGATCCTCCACGCGACACACGCACACACACGCACACGCACACGCACACGCACACAACGCGCCCCGACCCGCCCATATGGTTCGGTGCTGACGTCAGCGTGACGTGTTTGTGGTGGCGGTGACCACCGGCGCAGGCGCACACGAATGGCTCGACTGTTGCGCGCC